CCCGCTTCCTTTCACCTCGGTTTAGTGCATTGCAATTGCGGTTTCTCTTAGTTTTTCACAGCCCCAGGAGTCAGACACCTCATGTCCCCCAAAGCTTCGAATGTCTGTCCATAGTCAAAAGGACAGTGGAATTCTTTGCAGGTGCATGAAGGAATGGGCTCCGGGGCAAAGCGAAGAGAGTACAGTTCAGACTCCCTAAGGCTGGGAATATCCAGAGAATGGTTTTGTTAACCATTACAGTGTGATTCCACTACAGAAAAGCGACTTTGTAAGAATGGGGCTCTCACGGGGTGGCTGGCCTCTCTCCAATTGACCAGCTGCTGTCCGGCTAAGGTTGTGGGGTAGCTATTAAGTGATTTGCATGTAGAAGGCCTGGAGAGTGAGAACGGCCCCGAGTCCCTGTGACAGAGCAAGGCCGTGGGAGCGCTGAGAGAGGTGAGGGAAAAGCCTTTAGGAACTTGTGCCACACTGGACAGGGGAAGCAACTTTATCTTGTTGGTTCTGTTTCCGTTTTCTGGGCCCTGAGGCAAGGTCCTGAAAAGAGACTCTGAAGTGGCCTCGATCCTTCCTGAGCAGGTGAGTGAAGCCAGCAGCACAGAGGCACCTTCGGCTCCCTATTTGGATCCAGAATCAGAGCTGTTCTGCGGGACTCCAGTAAGTCTGCATTGCTCTGGACTCCCTGGAACCCTGAGAACAGCACAGGCAGGAGCAAGCCATGGTCTGGTTTTTGTGCATCATCACCAGAATTGTTTACAAAGTACCCGTTGCAGGAGTGTGATGCCCTGATCAGCTCCAGTTGCATTAATGGCCCGATTCGTTCTCATTCAGCTCCTAGGTCCTGATGCTGCAAAGGGTTGTCAGGTTACCTTTAGCCCCATGGAAATGAACACAGCTACTATGATCATATAATTAAACACGTGTAAATGTTTTTTAGAAACGGGACCTTAGTGAAGACAGTTTGGCAGCAAAGGTTTAACTGAGTACAGACTGTGTAGATATGGCTAGAAATCGGAAGACAGAAAATATTTATTATCTGTATAAAAATCCACGGTGTACCTACGCCTTGAATCTTGTGTGCAGTTCTGGCCCCTCCATCTCCGAAAAGACATATGAGAATTGGGGAAAGTACAAGAATGACTATTAGGGGTGTGGGACAGCTTCCATAGGAGGAGAGTTTAAAAAGATTTGGACTGGATGGAGATAGGATAGAGGACTAAAGCATCACGAGTGGTGAAGAAAAAGTAAATTAGGAGGTACTATTTACCCTTTCACATAACACAAGAATTAGGGGTCACCCAATTAAATCAATAGACAGCAGGTTTAAAAGAAACCTAAGGGAGTACTTCTTCACACAGTGCAGTCAGCCTGTGGAACTCCTTGCCGGAGGATGTTGTGAAGGCCAAAAGTACAATTGGGTTAAAAAAAGAATGCGATACATTCAGAGAGGATAGGTCCATCATTGTCTTTTAGCCAAGAGAGTCAGGGATTTAACCCCATTCTCTGGATATCTTTAAACCTTTGACTGCCAGACTCTGGGCGTGGACGACAGTGGATGGATCACTTGCTAATTGGCATGTTCTGTTTATTCCCTCTCAAGCATTTGCCACTAATCACTGTTGGAAAGCAGGGTACAGTATTAGGTGAAATGGACCAGTGGCCTGACCCAGTGTGTCACGTGTAGCCCTGGTCTACACTAGGGCTTTATTTCGAAATGACCCACCAAGTTGAATTAATAAGCAGAGCGCCCACACTACCAAGCCCGTTATTTTGAAATAATGGGCCACGGAATTCGAAATTTGTACTTCTGCTATTAATCATGAGTAACACTAATTCCGTAATAGTCAGTTTGAAATAGTGGTAGTTGGGCATTCCGGTACTGCTATTTCGAAATAACTACTCCCCAGAGTAATTCGAATTAATTACTCCCTTTGGCTCTAAGTCAAGGTAGCGGGTCCACATTAATGGCACCTGCCTTGGACTAATTTCGATGCTTCCCCGTCGTGTGGACGCTATTTCAAATTTGTTACATTGGGCGCTAAGTCGAATGTACTAATTTCAAAATAGTTTCCTAGTGTAGACATGGCCATATATTCTCACAGGTGCTGCAGAGGTGTACCTGAGGGAAGATTTTTCATGAGGAATCTATTTTGCTAGTGATGCATGAGCCAGAAGGCACTGATACAAATTTCAGATCCCAGGTTGAGGTTATTGACTTTGAGATCTGGATCATCTTTCTTCTTGTAAACTGAGCAAATTTGATCTCAAGTCCTTGAGAGACCAATGTAGAGTTCCACCGTGCCATTTTAACAATGTTATTTTGCAGACTTGAACAACATTTCAGAAATTAAATGTGAAGATAATTTACAAAATAGAATTTACTTGCTGTGTACAAGAAGCAATTTTAGGACCTAGTTTCATGGTTTCCCTTTATTTTAAGAAATCAATTTAATTTCACACAAGGCTTCAGGGTCCTGAGAGGAAAATAAGTGCTTGAATTTCCTTACTGTGCTGAAGTTTTAACAATTTAATTCTCGCATAGCCATGTCCCTTTTTTAGAACAGAAAATATTGAAGTCCCAGCTGCTGGACCAAGCAACTACTTAGTTCCTAGGGAGAATGTTACACAGAGAGGGTAAAGGTAGCACAGGGACATTTATGAAAGGGTTAATGTGTATAACCAGCTATTTGCAGGTGTTATTCCTTTTCCATCTTCTTCAATTGGATACATTTAGTTGTTAGAAAAATAACAATTGCTTCAAGATTCAAATGCTGCCCAGTTGACTAGCAGAGCAGCCACAGCACCTGCAGCTAGCAGCATGCATTTCTACTGCTGGTGCACATTCGTGCATGCTTTGGTGCACATAACAAAATTTATTCTGTACATGAATGGAAAAAATTACAGGGAACGCTGCCTGAGACTAATACATTACTCCACATTCAGCAACATGTGCAGTGCCCACATGTCCCTTGCTGTTCTTAAGCCAGAAACCCCACATCTCATTATTTTTATTTTCCAAGTGCCACAGCATCAAACTCTGTGCGTAGAAGAGTGGCAATAACAAAACGATGTGCACAACAAATACAAGTTGCATTCCTCAAAGACAGAATCAGGGCTAGGAGCGTTCCCCATGTGCTCTCAGTGTCTTACCATCGCAGTACACTGGCGTTCCCACACCATGGATTGGAGAGTTTGAGTTTCAGGGCCATTGAGAAGCTTCTGGCCACTTGCTCACCAAAAGATTCTTTCTCTGTACGGAAGGCGCTGGGAAAGCCATTGCTCCTCTGGAGAGGTATAGGTCACGGATGGGGGGCCTAGGGTACATGTTCTGTCCAGCCAACCTAAACTCTCACATCACATTTCCATTAACTCTTTGGGGGCAGGGCCTGTCTCTTAGGGTGCATTCAGCACCTGGCCCCATGAAGTTCCAATCTCACTTGTGCCCTCCAGGTGCATCTGTCCTGAAGTCTGGTTTCTTCCACATTCCCGGTGGAAGAACTACCCACCTAGGGCTGGGAGACTCACTCAAGCAGATGGTCCCTCTGTGTTCCCACCCTCCTCATTACACACACCTTGCACTGAAGGTCAGACCTCTACTGGGGGATCCCCAGCTTGGTGGAGCAGGCTGTTCACCTCCCTCTCCCTGATTCCCCACTGGTTTTTTGTCAGCCAGCTCCTCACTTGTGCGTTTGTTACTGCAGCACATTTACACTGCTCTTCCCATCTTCTCTTGTCCCAGGCAACACGCTCCAGTAACATCTGCTGGCCCCATCTCTCGGAGCAAGCAAGAGGGCCAGTCTTTGGTAGCCTATTTCATTCTCAGCAGCCCATTCAGACTGCCACTAACAGGGCCACGAAGGCCTCTTGTGTTTTGTTTTGTTTTTGGATGGGGTGAGGAGTAACGTTCGTCCAAATGGGAACTGGACTGAGACCCACCAACTCATTTCGCACTGGCTAGTTAGCAATCATTGGATGGCAACACGATGTAGTCGCTAGTCGGCTGGGTCTGGTGGGAATCAGTGAACTAGAAGTCAGTGTCAGTGCTCCATTTCCTGAACGAGCCCTTCTCCGAAAGCCATTCCAGACTAAATAGGTACGGATGCCCTTACGATTTTGAGTTAAATTCCCATTCGGGCCAAACCATGGAGCCGAGTGCTGGTGGGGGGTTGGGGGGAGTGTTTCCTGCTTGCCAAGTCTGAACTGAAATCAGAGTTTTAAAGAGTGCTTGGCTGCAGCAGCGTGTGAGGGAAAGGAGATTGGGGGGTAATGAGAAGCACGCTGCACGGGGCCGCTGTGTTTATTTGGATTTATGCTAACAATAGAGGGCCTCTGGGCGCCCCAGCCACACGGTACAAGGGCAGAAGTAAAATAAACTCGCAGCCTTACCCCTGAGCCAGCAGACATCACCCCCTCCCCCAATAAAACACAGCTTCCCGCCCCCTGCAGCTCTAACCCCCATCGGACCCCATGGTCCATTTAGTTCTCCTTTGCCAGAGGGACAATTAACTAGAAAAGGGCAAATAACTAATTAGATTAATCCCTTTGCTCTCCCACTTTGCCAGTTATTTTGGAATGATTTTTCCCCCTTGGGTCCAGCTTTATTTATTATTTTAATTGTCATTTTAATTTTGCATGTTAGCAAACAATGCCCCAAGAAACAGGGATTTGTGAGCAAGGCACAAATGATTAACTATTAACCCTCCAGCCATCAATTGTTCTGTCTGCCTGTCCCTTCCCATACCTGCCAGACTTGCTCTCGGACG